GATAACATTTTCCAATTGTTTACTCTACTTAAAGCTAACCCAATACTATAAATAAACAAATTACACTCTCGTAACCTATAATAGTTTTGAAGAAAATAAAAAAACACGATATTGTAATGCTAAATAACTTTAGAAACAAAAACATTAACACAAATCCGACGTTATTAAGTGACTCAATCTATCAAACAAAAAGGGGTCCTTGTGGTAGTCGATGAATTACTACACCTTTATATCTACTTTCACAGCACTTTGCTAGGTAATTATCTTTGATGAATTCTTCCTAATAAAGTAAGGCGCCTTGGGTTTTGAAATAAATAGCTTGAGTGTCACATGGCCCGCTTTCCAAATTCATGTTACGTTTCGTGCTCCGTAACGATCTATTTTAATATATCCTTGCTTGTACCTGGTGCGATTCTGCCACAGAAGAAATAATTGTGAAAACATCATTTTAAATTTCGAAAATTTATATTGTTTAATAAGAATTATAAAGCATACATTAAAGCTGAATGATATACAACTTCCAAATCAATTTGCGGTTACGATACTCGTGTAATCTACTGAATGTAATTGTACTATGCCTAAAAGCTTCGCGGAAATGCAAGAAATAAGTTGACAAATTTTTACCGCAATCTGATGAACGGTATGACAGCGCATAAAATACGAAAAAAAAAACAAATATGATTTTTTATATATTAGACTAGCTGTTCCCCGCGACTTCTTCCGCGTTTTTTTATAGTATAGGGTGACAAACGAGCACACAGTCCACCTGATGGTAAGTGGTTACTGTGGCCCATAGACATCTACTTCTATCCTCGATTACGAAACAAAATGCAGATGCTTTGTCACCCATTTAATTAAAAAGCTGAAGATACTCCGGGTTAACATTGACATCAAAACGTCAGTCACCTTAGTCTACCGTGACCATGGGTCCTGGAAGAGCTGCTCAGCAAGAGTGAGTGATGTGATGCCAAAAATAAATCCGTGTCAGTATATGCTATCGCAGGTACTACAGCAATATTTCATGGGTTTTCTTTTTTTTCGCGTAACTTTTATTGTTTTTCTAAAATAAAAGTGGTCTAAGGTACTCCTTATAATATGAGCAATCTGCGAGAAAAAATCTAGTCAAAATCAGTCCAGCCATTTCGAAAATTAGCTGACAGACACAAAAATTTCGGTATTGTTTTTTTTTTGTTGTAAGTACCGTACAAACTTTCATACGTATTTAGTAAGAAGCTATTATTTTGACATTATAAACAGACACTTCCATTTTAATTATTTGTTTACAAAAGGTGCACATATAAACAATTTTATACGAACAAACGAATAAAATTGAAAGAACTTTAAGCAGTTTGTAAATAATTGACGAACGAGGATGTCATGAAAAAAATATTATTTGAATTTTAAACTTTTTTTACGGATTTGTTTTGTTTAATTTACTTGATTTCAATTCCCGACCGTGGCTGGCTTCACTAGATCGCTATGACCCATTACACAAATCCTCGCGAAAGAATATCGATTCCTGCTAAGGATGATACGTGAGGCCATTGAAATAAAAAAACATCCTAAATTCAATAGAGAAAGAGGCATGGTACTACTTTCTGCTTAGAATTCTGTAATTAATAAAATCAAAACCAAACCCAAGCATACCACTGAAAGACTTCAAGATATAAGGAATATAAGGAAGTTCATTCTGCGTAGATCGAACCATAAGTCATAATTAAAAACCTGAAGGTTGTCTGTTTTAACACTGAAATTGGGACGTCACCTCGGTATCTCGTGACCCCTCGGGAAAGCACCTGAAACGTAGGAAATTAAAATCAAATAAAATTAAACGCAATAAAATCCGTAAAAGTAGTTTTATTTACTATATAGTGTTCTCGTGCATATAACAAATCGTTAAAAACATATTTGGCGTACTTTATTAACAGTAAAACGGCTTGTAAAGGAAAACCTAGCGTTTAATAGACATAGAAATCCGACATAAATCGTGTTTTATTTTTGGTTAATACCGCTCTTTCCGGTAATACCATCTGACAACCGTTGCTGATATTCTTCACATTTGAGCTAAACGCTTTGTTTTTTTTTTTTTTTTGTAATGCTATAATATATATAAAATAAGATGTGGAATAATTTTCCATCGTCAGTCTTCCCATCGATTGATTACAATCGGGGTGTTTTCAAGGCAAGAGTTTGTTTTTTATAAGATATTGGTGACAACGAGCGCAGAGTTCACCTGATGGTAAGTGTACATAGCCACGCTGCAGCTATGTTAGTTGTAGCACGAATGGGTCAGCTCGACCAGGGTAGGACCACGCTCTCACAGAATACTAACGTAAAATATCAGCTTAAAGCTGCTGTGTTTCGTATGATGAGTGTAGAAACCCAGAGAACCTTTTAACTAGAAATGAGTTATTTCATTTTAGTACTCAGGGGTGGCAATGCATCTGCATTATGATTCTTAATCGAACATGTTTATGTCAGTTTGTCTTGTTCAAAGCAAAGTAACAAAGTGTCGCGAAGATTAAAATTTTTGATACCTATTTGTAGATAAAGATAAGGTTCCGTAGCAAGTTTTAGAAAATTGGCTGGTCGGACCCTGTTTATAACGGGTTCTTCTAGAGATATTGGAAAGGCTATTGCCTTAAAAGTGGCAAAAGACGTGGCGAACGTTGTTATTGCCGCCAAAACTGCTGAACCTCATCCAAAACTACCGGGTACCATTTACACGGCTGCAGAAGTAATTGAAGCTCTTGGAGGAAAGACGTTGCCCTGCATAGTAATGTGAGAGATGAAAAACAAGTGCAGAATGCTATTGATGAAGCTGTTAAAAAGTTCAATGGAATTGATATCCTGGTGAACAATGCATCAGCTATATCTCTAACAGGTACAGCTCAGACCGACATGAAGAGATATGATCTTATGCATAACATCAATACAAGAGGGACTTTCTTAGCATCAAAGCTTTGTCTGCCATTGCTAAAGAACAGTGACCATGCTCACATTCTCAACTTATCTCCGCCATTAAACATGAACCCGTATTGGTTCTCAATTCATGTGGCTTGCAGGATGGCTAAATATGAAATTTCAATTTGTGTGCTTGGCATGTGTGAAGAATTCAAATCTTTTAACATTGGAGTTAATGCTCTATGGCCTAAGACAGCTGCAATAGAAATGTTAACTGGAGACACATCAACCAGTCGCAAACCAGAAATTGTTTCCGACGCAGCTTATATAATGCTTTCACAATAATGCGTATAAACTACTCCTGGACGGATTCCTGGATGACCCGGCTGCAATTAGTCACCACCAGATGGTATCCACTGCCCCACTTAGACGTTATCATACAACCACTGTCAATCACCAGGAGAAGGTAATATAGATAATCTGTTGCCTGACTTCTTTTTGGACGTGCCTGCGAAGTTCAAGGAACAAGTTAAAAAGGTGTAAAGTTATATCAAAATAAATGAATTTAGATTTTTTGACCACTTATTCTCGTTACTTGCTTTTATTTCTATAAACCGCTGTGACGTCTTGTATGTTTTAATTTTATTTCGAACATCTGTTTGCTTATCTAACAACGAAGGGTTTAAAAAGAGTTAGCCAAAATTAAAAACTTTAATAAATTTATTAATCGACATTGGTTAAGCAGCCAGAATATGACATTTAAAAAACAGTAATAAAATATATTAAATTTTTTAATTTATATGTAAAATTTTGAAATGAACAATTTTGTAGATATGTAAATTATTATGTATTATAAACTTAAGTATGATGAAAAAAAAATCGATATTCGACCGAATCAAAAGAATCAATTCTGTATATTTAAATCCTGCCTATCCTCAAAATACTAAGTAGTTCTGTGTTTGAATTTCACTATAGAATCAATTTATTTATTGAGTGTAGATAAGAAGTATAAATTGGCCAAAAAAATAGTTAACAGCTTGCCTGGTTACCTTTTGAAACTACAGTGGACCTACCGGAGGTACACAATCCGGCCCCTGGCTAAACCCCTTCCCCCACCTGTAATCCGACATGCCTTTAATATATAGTAGGTATAATCGAGTCACATTATGAATCCGCCACGGTGAGAGCTGTTCTTCACGAATACGTGGACAAACATGTTGCACTTAGTTCTCGGCACCACAAATACATCTAAGACAACACGTCTGTTTAAATGTGAATATAGTAGCGGCCTAGCGGGCATTCATCATTCAACGTTTAGGTATTCATTGTGCAACTACATGACTTTTTTATGTTATAGTTGATATGTAATTTGTCGGATTACAAGATACTCATTTTCAAAAGGTTCCGGATTACCAGGGGGTTGTGGCAGTACTCTATAATCCAACAGCGCAATTGCTAAACGTTTGTCGGATTACCGTGGGTCAACTGTATACACAACTTGCAATAATGTAAAATACGGAAACAGCAATTTATTAAAATTACTCCCTTATTAAGGATACGTTAAATATTGATATATTCTTTTATTATATTTTATCGATAAGATAATGTTAGTTTATCAAATTATCTTATCTTTTATTAAATGCTGTTGCCATGTTAAAAGATTTGAGGCAAATAAACAATTTATTATTATTATATTACTATTATGTACATAATTTATGAATAGAAACATTATGTTCAGTAATTTTATGACAGCTTTATGTTAGTTACTAGAATTGTTTTTTATTTAATCCTATTTTTACGTGTTTAGCTTTTTATGAGTGGCTGATTAAGTTATCTAGATCATTTGATATTTTAAAGTTTAATTAACTTTTAATAATTTGCTTCGGTTAACATATTTCAGTCCACAAAGATAAGATAAATTAGAATATTTTATGTGACTACAACAGTAATTTTATAATAAACACTCGAACTGCAGTGCTTAAGACTTAAGATAGAGTGTAGGAAGTCTTTGTGGATTGTGATTTTACGCATACTTTCTTCTTACGCTAGAACCGTTTTATAAATTTGAAATATAATATGTATTTCCTTTACAAAATATGTCTAACACAAGCTTGTTACAGAGTGAATCGAAGGGTGAGATACCGGAACTATTTGCCACTATCAGCAAAGTGATCACACCTGAACTTGTGAAGAAGACTCAAGCCATCTACCAGTTCAATGCTAAAGGCAAAGAAGAAGGTGTTTGGCACATAGATCTAAAAAATGGCGATGGCACTTGTGGTCAGGGAGAGCCGAAGAATCCCCTTGATGCAACTTTAAGTATGAACAGCACAAACTTTGCTGAAATGTTTGCTGGAATATTAAAACCTACCACAGCATTCATGATGGGTAAGCTAAAAATAAACGGAGATCTTCAAAAGGCTATGAAGTTGGAGAAAATGATGAATTCATTAAAGACTAAGATTTAATTTTCAAATAAATGTTTAATTATAATGTACACTTTTTTTTATAAATAGTGCAATAGATATGAAATACTACTGTTTTATAGTTTAATATTTTTATAAACAAAATTTTAAAATAATAGCTATTTTAAGATAATAATTTTATAAGAAGGCTGTATAAATAATACAAGAACAATTCCAGTACAAGTAACAAGCTACGAAAGATGTATCTTTTTTTAAATTTTAGAGTGCAATTTGTGTAAGTAATGCAAAACGACGTTCGTTAGGAAGGTATTAATTACTTCATCATTATTTCGTATTTATACTTCTTCATATATATATTGCATAACTAATGTGCTACATAATTAAATTTTAGAAAATGTTTATAATATTTAAAAAAAATCAATAAATACAAGTCTATGAGAGTTAATGAATAATTTCGATTTTAATAATAATTATTAGAAAGTAAACTTATTACGTAATTTTTTATGAAAATGTAATTTTCTGTTTCTCTATTTAACTTCTACTTTTTCAGTTTTACTAATATAATGAATTAGGTTTTCTGATTGGCTGCTGCCAGATTAATGCTTCAATACTTTATGTATAAAATTAATTGACGCTGCCATTGTGTATTAAGTTTTCTTACTTCATTTAAAATAGAGTTTCACTCTGAGATATATGATAGAATTTGTCATATTGTTGTGAAGTAAATATAGTACGTACATATTAACAACCTGTTACCCCTTTTATGTTACTGTAGAATACTTATAAAAAAATATTAAATTAGATATCATCATTATTTATGTCCATCTTATACTTGTATTGTAGTGAAATATTATGCAGAAATATGGTATGGAAACATTTTATGTAAATAAAGTTCATTTTTTTATGTCTATGAGCTACAGCATCCACATACCATCAGGTGGACTGTGTGCTCGTTTGTCACCTTTATTCTATTGAAAAAACTTACGGAAAGCATTTTTTTAATTTATTTAGCCCTTATCGTATGTTTTCTTATTACTTCTAAATTTATGGCACGCGATTGTACTATTGCCAAGAAAACGCATGTCTATGTCTATTTATATGTCAAAACATAGCTTAACAAGCATAGGTAAGCAGGTTATCTGTTGCAGTTACTTTTTTTGTAGTCATAACGTTGACACTGACTATCACTTCATTCCCTGTTTTGCTTCTTTCGATGCCCATTAGACAATATGAATATTCTTAGATTGTCACTGCACGGGTATTGTTACTTTATTTAGATAACTTTTAAGTTACAGCTTAAAATATTATTTTAATTAGGAAGAAAAAGGGAATCATTTATTTTTTTACTACTACTAGCCAGTGCTTGAATACCTATCTGTCGGTAAATGATACTGTGCACCTATCGTTCCGTGCATAGAATACTATAACACATACATAATAGAACGGGGGAGTGGGCGGAGCCCGCGTAGCCACTAAAATATCACTAGCACGTCAATTCACACGTATAAATATCAATACGAGATGTGTTTTGACGTTACAATCGTTTCCAAATTTCGCATGCAAATTATTTAGAAAATGCCAAATTGCACCCTATTTACAAACAAATATGTATTAAAATTTAATGATGATCTTGAACATTAGTCAAAAATCTAAAATTTGTAAATTTATTCAGTCTGTCAACACAGCGAATCGGGTTTGGCGACGCCAAGCCTCGTATAAAATAAAGTTGACAGCCATTCTATTGTGTATGGTTCCGTGGATATTGAATGAGGCGACAGAATGTAATGAAACAGGAAATAACTATCAGCATCTACCCGATAGCAACTCAAAACAATAAAAATTTAAGGCTATTAAGTGATTAAACTAAAGCAAATATCCCACCTTTAAGGCAATCTATAGTGGAGGGCTATGTTAAACAGTGAACTTTTGATAGGCTGTATGGGTATTGGTAGAGATAACATTTAAAGCAAAGCAAATAGGAACAACAATTACCAGTGGTTATGATGATTATTGCATTATCATTATCATCACCATTACAGACCTTAACAAGTCCAATGGTGAATATCGACCTCACCCAAGGAATACCACAAAGTACGGTTATCACCCACCTGTACCCATAGACTTCCTGAATGTCTTACCAAGTCGTCACTACATCTAGGGGGTTGCCCTACATTTCGCCCACCAGTACGAGGCTGCCACTTTTGAAACTTTTTCCCCATAGGCTATGTCGGTCACTCTGGTTCTGCTGCGGATATCCTCATTTCTAAGTTTATCACGCAAATAAACCCCGAACATAGCCCTCTCCATAGCTCGCTGAGTGAATTTGAGCGTCTTCATACGGCCAGCAATAAAGGATTACGTCCCAGATCCGCAATTCATCACTGGCAACACGAACTGGGTTTCCAATCTTGTTTTAAGGAATACCTGATGCGTAGTTGTGTGTGTGTTGTTTTTCTAACGCTGCCCAGCCGAGTTGAATACATCGATTGAACATACTCATCAGAAACTTTGAGCTAAGTGTTCCGAACAACTACCGGCATAGATGTGACTTGGACAATACGCATGATCTTTGTTTTGTCCATGTTCATATTTAGACCTATTCGTTTAAAAGCACTATTGAGGCCATAGATCACAACAAAGGTGAGTGATGTACTCAACATTGATGTTAAAACTGTATCCTTCCTAGTTCAGTAGCTAGAAAACGTCTTCTAATGCAGAATGAAGAGTTTCGGTGATATGTAGTCACCGTGTTTCACCCCCCTCTGCAGTTAGATAGGTTTCGTACTCCTGTTATGTACTCCGATAGCCATCTTAGCCCTACTGTACAAATATTTCAGCACTTTGACATACCGACAGTTAAGTTTTACAGGTCGCGTCTACCTACAACTACTGTTTCATAAAATCAATTATTGTTTATAATAACATAATAACGTATCACCTTTTTATTTAAAGGCCAGGGAAAAGTGCTATAAAACACATAAGTTTTTCAGGTTATAACGTATCAATTGTACACTATGGTATACTATGCTGTGGAAAGAAAAATAACATCCACACCATAGTGAAAAACCACAAAAAATCGTATTTAATCATATAATAATAAGATAAGTAACAAAACACAATTGGTTATTTTGAACATTCATAAATCACATGACAAATTAATAAGATTTTCGTAGTCTTTGAAACGAAATGTGTAAAACACGTTTTTTCTAAAATATAGTCTTGGCTTCTGGGCTTTTAAGACATTGTTAAACGCGTTCTGTCTGCAAAAGTCTACTGAGAATGATAAACATAGTAATATTACTTTTTTCCTGGCTTTATTGGAAAATTCAATTACACGATACGAAATAAGCGAAATAAAGGCAATTTTATAAGATACTTTACATCACAAGACGCATTAGAAAATTTTCAGGTCAAAATTGGACACGATTCTTTCGACGGAATCAAAGGCTTTCTCATACATTCTTTCTTCCCCGTCGGTAGTCGATTCTTTGAGCTGTTCGGCCAGCTACAAATATGGTTTCATTTATTTTAATATATTGCGCTGATACCATGTAGTTCCCGAAGCCTGTGCAATTGTACCATATCCATTTATTTGTCGAAACTCCAATGCTATACGGTGTTCAATACAATTGCTTACCTTCCAAAAAAATTTTGGGTACAATCAGTGCCATCTGGCGGCTAGAGTGCAATTTTAAAACCATATAAAATGTCACAGTAATTCCATTTTCGGTACGGATGATGAATCTCAACTTGTGATAAAAAACAATTGAAACGACTTCCTGACAAAAATTATTTAATCAAAACATTACATTTTCAAAATACAACATTTAAACTTTAAACATTTATGAGCGGCCAGAAGCGTAGAATTTTCAGTGTATCACTCGATCTGTGGTGAGAAATTAAATATATCCATGAAATCCAGTCTCGGGTCTCCAGTTCTCTACACGCACCATACGAAACGTAATGTTATTATGTGAGAGCGTTGTACTTCCCCTGTCAAGCCAACCCATTCATGCTACAACTTTAATAAATTCGCAGCATGGCTCTACCACCTGTAATAAACATAAATAATATACATATTAAAAAAGTAATTAAAATGATTTCACTCAGTATACAAACATGAATGTAAATTAAAACAAACGTTTAGGGTTACCACAAATATTAGCCAGATACATAAATTTAATTTATAGAAGAGCGTTTTATTAAAAGCTTAGCATTCCCTTTTTGAAACTAATTTAATTTAGAAATGATATATTTCTGTTTCCAGTTTTGTATTGTATTTTTGAATCTATATTAAAATTTTTGACTCCAGTGCTGATATTTTAGGCGCTTTTACTTTGACCTTTACCTTGCTGGTCAAGTTACGTTAACATGTGTTTTGCAATTTCTTTTCTTGTAGTATATTAAGACTTCATAAATTTAATTATATATTTCCTTATATTATGGTTTGGAAGAAATTTTAGTTTTGGCTTATCAACTTTAGGAATTGATTTTTTTTTAATATATCTACAATCGAATTTACAGTCGACCTTATGTCGACGTAAGTGGCTACCGCTATCTTCAATAAAGACGGCAACAGGTTATTTTTAACTTTGTCATATTTTTATAATAACTTTTGACACGCGTTGAACGTTGCAGTTACTTAATTTCTCCAGAGATCCTTAGAATTTTGACGGGGAACGCTAATTATTTATTACATATGTACGCAGTCGGATTGGGATTCGCATAACGTTTTTATGACGTTATGATAGAGCTCTTTTTTCTTCATTGCTTGTTCCTAAATAACATATTTTATTGCATTATATTCATTGAATGAATTTTAAAGTAAGTAATATTTTGAAGATTTAATCATGCATTTAATCAGCATAAAGTTATATATTTAGAAATTAATGTATTTTAACTTTATGCTGATTAATTTATTTGAAATGTTATATATATACATATATATATATATATATATATATATATATATATATATATATATATATATATATATATATATTGTAGTACCCGGTTGAACGAGCTTTGCTCGGTATTTTTCG